GTAAACTATCACTCAATTCACAATAAAAGCTTTTTTTTTTTTTTTTAAAGGCAAAACCTAGATACTTATAATGGCAAGCTTGTTCTGAAAAGGGACATAAGCTAAAGACAGTGGTCTACCATCGGCACTGACACTCACTGAGCCTCGAAAGGTCCTAAGGCAGTCCCAGCTGCTTGTCCTCACTGGGCAGGAAGAGCAGTGAGTGGCCCGGCTTACCTCATGGCCTCCGTCCTGGGCATCCTCCGGCCCACACAGAGGCAATGTTGGAAAAAGCGGCACAGTTCCATCAGGCAAGGGGTGATCTTCAGGGTGGCCAGCAGGTGGGGGCCAGCTGTCACAACCCCCTCCTGGAGCGGTTGAGGACACCCTATAAAATGCAAACCAGACAATTCAAGTCAACAAGAACGTAGCATCTTTTCTGTGTCAGGTGAAATGCCAAGTGAATGCGGACTCACTCCTGCTCTCAGGTAGCTCTGAGACAGACAAGGAAGCATATCCCCTCTTTACATCCTCACAGAAGGTCCTGAGTGATGGCAGGGGAGAAAGAGTAGACCATGTCCCCAGAGCAAACCAGAGATGCTTTTACTGAGGAGGATCTATAACACTAAACAGAATACACCGGACGAAGGACATCAGGGGTGAGGAACAGAGTAAACGATGGCTCAGCTTCATGTAAAGGGAAAGCATGCTGAGGGGAAATGGCAGATAATTTCATAGTACAGATGTGTACGAATTATTTGTGTGTATACATGTGTGTGCATGTGCATGCATGTTTATGCATGTGTGTATGTGTGTACTTAGATATATGTGCATGTGTGGGACATGTATATGTAAAGGCATACATCTATGTGTATCTGCACATAAGGAAGAGAAAAGAGAGGTAGATCAAAAGATGTGGCTAGGAAGGACCAGGTTTTCTACCTCATCGGTTCAGTAGGTTAGAAACTATGTATATTTCAACAAGTCAGATTTGCCTTATTGTTTAGTACTTTGTGTTTAGCAGAAGCCTACAAATGATAAAAGAAGGGACTGCCAATAGAGATTTATTTAAATTTATTCTATCTCCTTAAAATGTCTGCATGGCTGCAAACTTTCTTCTGTGAGCCTGTCACTTTATGTGGAAAACAAGGGGAGCTGTGCTCATCACATATGGTTACTGGGAGGATGTTGCATATTACACATATCGTATTGTGTGGAGTAAACAACGAACGATTGTTGTTGCTGTTGTGAGGTGCCGCCGAGTTGATTCAGAATCATAAGAACGCTATGCACAATAGAATAGAACTCTGCCTGCTCAGGTATCATACTCATTGTAGCTGCCACTGTGGCGATCTAGCTTGTTGGGGATCTTCTTTTTCATTGACCTTCTACTTGAAGTACGATGCCCTTCTCCAGGGAATGGTCCCTCCTAACAACATGTCCAAAGTCCAAGAGACAAGTGCAGATATACTAACTTCTAAAGAGCATTCTGGTTGTCTTCTTTCAAGACAAATTTGTTTGTTCTTCTGGCAGCCCATGGTACTTCCAATGTTCTTCGGCAACACTATAACTCAAATGCATTGATTCTTCTATGGTCTTCCTTATTCGTTGTTCAACTTTCACATGCATATAAAACAATTGAAAATACCATGACTTAGGTCAGGCATATCTTAATCTTTAAACTGATATCTTAGCTCTTGAACTCTTGATAGAGGTCTTGTGCAGCAGATTTGCCTAATGCAATAAACATCGTCTGATTTCTTGACTACTGTTTCAATGAGCATTGATTACGGAGTCAAACAAAATGAAGTCATGGACAGTTTCAATCTTTTCTCTGTTTATCATGATGCTGTTCATTAGTCCAGTGGCGAGGACTTTTGTTTTCTTTACATTGAGGCAAAGTTCATACTGAAGGCTGTGGTCTCTGATCTTCATCAGTAAGTATTTTAAGTCCTCTTAACTTCCAGCAAACAGGGTTGTATAATCTGCATATCAGTTGTTAATGTTGTTGTTGTTGTTTAGTGCCATCAAGTCAGTTCTGACCCATATTGACCCTGTATAGGGTTTCCGAGGAGCATCTGGTGACCTTGAACCACCGATCTTGCAGTTCAAAGGGCTTTGCAGTCTGGCACATTAGCCTACAGCGCCATTAGACTCCAGTTGTTGATGAGTCTTCCTCAAATTCTGACGCCACATTCAGAGTCCAGCTTCTCAGATTATTTACTCAATAATACAATCAATATAATTATTGACTGATTGATGTTAAAATCTCTATCAAGCATCCACTATATGGCAGACACTGCCAAGAGACACTAAGGATAACAATGAATTAAAGGCCCCCCCTCTCACAGAGCAGAACTTTAAGTGATTTCAAGATTATTATATTAAGATGTTGATAATAATATTCCAATAAAGACTGACTTATCGCTGTCAGGAAAAATTATCTAAAACTTAAAAACCAGATTCCAGGGTTTCCATCTAGTGCAGTACTGGGTGTTGTCTAGTAGAGCGTCGGGGGCTATCTGCATCTTTTGTTGGTTTGTATTGGGTAGGCTGCTGTAGAACATAACCTCCCCTTGTAGTAAATGATTGCAAAGACCTAGCACAGTGCCTGGTACATAGCAGGAGCTCAGTGAAAGGCACAATGCAGATGAATGTAGTCAAAGAACCATTTGCTGGAAGATGCCAGAACTATTTATTTTACAATTCTATTTCTAGATAGATAGGTGAGTGGATGGATGAATGGACAGATTATTGTATGGATAGATGGATAAACAGATAGACAGAAACTAGTTACAGAAATAATTAGATACTTAGATATGTATACATAGAGAGATAGTCAAATTGTTTACTAAAAGTCAATCTGATCACTACCTCCATCGATACTAAGGTGTTTCTAGAAAACTTCTGGGGAAAACAGGATAGAATTTCCTTTGGTTGCACAATCCAGTCTTTGTGCCTGAAACCCCATTCACCATTCACTACAGGTTGAAGGTGGGGCTGAGGTCGGTCTCAGGTGACATGGCAAAGGAGACTGTGTGGGCTGAGCAATGTAATAATGGCCTGTTGACATGTGTCCGGGTGTCCAGGGAACATGCATCCAGCATCAGGAGGGCCCGACCAGCTCTGAATACATGAGTCCATATCAGTGCCTCTCCTAGAGCCTGGCACCACAGAGACCGTGAGACGTGAAGAAGCTATAACAACACAGTAACTCAAGACCCTGCAAATCAGGCTACTACAGGGCAAGGGACAGGGTTTCTCTAGAGGCCCAGGAATTAAGTGTGCAGGGAGTCCTTTAAATAGGACCAGAGGGACTCCCACTTAGCGAATGAAGGTAGAATTTTGGAGTCCACCTTCCCCCTTCTTCTCTCACCCAACAGCAATGCTTACTCTAGCAGCCCCCTCTCTTTCCTTTGCTCTATAACTCCTCACTCAACAAATATTGACTGAAAGCTTTCTAGTCCCACTTCCACACACATTATCTTACTTAATGCAAAACCCTGCAGAAAAGGAAACAAAAAAGAAGGGAAAAGCCATTTTTAGTGCTCACTGTAATTGCTACCATTCTCACATTACAGCTGAGAAAATGAAATCCTGGCAGTGAAATATCCGAGGCCACCACCCCGGTAAATGGTAGAGTTAGGATTTGACTCCCAGCAGTCTGCATCTAAATTTACCCAACAAATCTTCCTTTTGTTTTCTGACAGCACTAAATTGACAATGAGCCTAAGTAAAGTCAGGGGAGCCCACATGCACCGACTTCAAACCTGGTGGGGTCCTAGAACCAGGGCTGGTTCCTCCCCCCGGGGTAAATGACTAGATCACACAGGGGTCACCTGCAAGGGTCAAGAATGGCCTTTCCAAAGATAGAAAAAAGTGGCCTTGGATTATATACACAGCCCCGGAATTGTTATAACTCAAGGTTTGCCTATGAAATGATTTTCCTGCAGGGAAATGGGATCCAAGAAAACAAACATCTGTCAGCTAGTCTTCTCTGACTCATGGCAACCTCATGTGTGTTCGTGTAGAACTGTGCTCTTCCACCAGGTTCTCAGTGCTTATTTTGTATGTCGATTACCAGGCCTTCCTTCTGAGGTACCTCTGGGTAGACTTGAACCTCCAGCTTGTCTGTAAGCAGTTGACTATATTAACCATTTGCACCACACAGGGACTCCAGCCAGAAATGGGGAAATGATTTCTCTAAGCTCACAGGCCAATTCAACAAGACTTGAACACCAGCCCAGCCCCCTGCCTTCTTTCATGCTAACACAGTGAAAATACAATACCTAGCTTGACTTGACCACAGGCATCTCAACTCACCATTCTGTCCCAAGCCATGCTTTCCTCAGGGTGGGATTAAGGGTTTTCATCTCAGAAGCACGTTCTCACCTGTCTGGGGATACCTAGGGGCTGGGGCCTTGGTCGGATGTGGAGTCTGGGTGCCAAGGGTGTGTAATCCTAGGAGAAGATGAGAGAGAGGTGAGTCTGTGTGTCTTTATGGAGGGTCTGTCGGGAGACACCGGTCCAGTCCTTTCAACCAGTGCTGATGAGCTAGGATTCAGAAATGAGTAAGAAACACAATCCATACTGGGCATGCTCACTGTACAGACAAGGAAATGGCCTGTTGCCGTAAGTGCACACACACACACAAGGTGAGACTCACACTCAACATGTTTCTCCTGATGTTTAGAACGCAGGCCTTCCTTCTCTCTGCTAAAATCATACTGTGACCTGTCCTGAGGGAATGGAGTTGTTTAAAGAACAGTGAGAAGGAATTAGAGAGAAGAGGTGGGAGCTCTCATCCGTTCACATTCCAGCTGAGAGTAAAGGATGGAGCACAGAAAAACAGGCAGCTGATGCTTAATACTTATTCATTGTGCTGTCTGCTTAGGGTCCATTGCTTTTTTGTATGTATATTACACTTTTTAAAACAACAAAAGGTTTACAAGCAGAGAATGCTAGGTTTATTTATAAATGGGGGTAGTGTGGAAGCAGGGGACCTCTCACCTGAAGTGGGGCTGGTCTGGGATGGGATGCCTGCCAGGCTTCTTGTGTTCAAGTCCCCCTTCGTCTCTGCAGGTGACGTCAGCTGCAAGAAAGCTGTTTCCCACAGAGACTCTCCAGGTGTTTTCTCTGAGAAGGGCTGGAGTTGAGTGGAACCCACCCATGGGGTTCTAGCCCTTGCACCCCTTGGTAGTTGCACATGCAGAGTAACATCGTGACCCCTGACAGGCTGGGTCTTACAATCCAAATACAAAACTGTCCAGACATTGGGATCTTATCGAAGGGCAAGTGCCATGTGCACAAGTCCTCTCAACTATTCAAGAACTTGAACTTCACCCTTGGAACAAATGGACCAGACTCTATCTAGTTTTCTCGTCCACCAATTAAAAATTTTAGAAATCAAAAACCCAACCCACTTGTCACAAGTCAATTCCAAGCCAGGGCAGCCCCAAGTGTTTCAGAGTATAACTGCACTCTTTAGGACTTTCTTTCTTTTTGAACTATTTATTATGAATTGAATGAAGGTTTATAGACAAGATCATGTTTTACAGTTGACAAATCATACACTTTGTTTCATCTGAGAGACTGCAATCTTTCCATGTAACAACAGTTACCTTGCTTCCTTCCTGTAGTTCCTGTTCCCATTCCCCCTCCTTCCCACCCTTTCTCAGCTTTGTCCTTAGGGAAATGTCGTCCTGTTGATTTTGAACCATTGGCCACTCCATGGTGAGCACACCTCACTAGTGTTGCTGTCTCCCCCATATACCTATCCACTCCCAGCTGGAAATTGGCCACAACGATGAACTCCTTTTCAGACCTGAAGGGTAGTTGAGGGCCCTAGTCTCAGGTTCCTCCAGTCTCTGACCACTAAACCCAATCTTTTTTCCAAAATAATTTTGAGTTTTGCTCCACATTTTCTCCCACTCTTTCAGAGTGATCTCTTTCAGAGTGAGCAGTTGGTAATGGTAGCCAGTCACCGTCTAGTTCTGGTCTCAGAGTTGTGGAGATTGATGTTCACATGTTCCATTAGTCCAATGGACTGATTGATCCAAACCTCTCCAATTCTCATCACATTTCTTTCCTCTACATATGGAGAGACCAATAGCTGCAACTTAGTCTGCTCATGAGCTTTTAAGATCCCAGACACTGCTTACCAAAGGAGGCTATAGAAGATCGTCTTTGTGATCTATGTTATGCCAATTGGCCACAGTGTTCCCTAAGACCACAGGGCTACAATATTTTCTAGAAACAGGTCTCCAGGACTTTCTTCCATGGTACCAAAGGGTGGGTTTTAACTGTGTCAGCCTTTAGTTTTAGTTGAGTGCAAACCATTTGTACCACCCAGAAACCATCCAAATCCTATAGATTCCCAGGTGTATGCTTGGAGGAGGGCTGGGCTCTCTCTTAAGTCTTGGAAACACTCATAAGCATGAAGCAAGTGGATAGATTATGAGGCCAGAGCTTAGGAAACCTGGAGGCAAGTTCTTCTGTCCACACTGAACTCTGGGGCGAGTCCCTTACCATTCTTAAGCTTTACCATTAAATTGGAGACAATAATCATCGGACCTGCTCTACAACACAGGGCTGCTGATTGATGAAGCAAATCGACCCTTGTTCCTCTGCTTTCTAAACGGTGCTAGATGTTCTCACTTGCTCACCCCCACAGGAGCAATTAAAATCATTTTTATTTCAAGTTTACAAAGCTCAATCCATTGGAAGGTTTTCATTCTGCAAGTCAGGTTGGAAAGAATTGCTTTCTCCTCTTAAACATGGTTAAGCTGTCGTTGTTAAGTGCAGGGAAGTCAGTTACGACTCTGTATAGAGTTTCCAAGTCTGTAATTCTTTTCTAGAGCTCAAAGTCTCATCATTCTCACGCAGAGTGACTGGTGGGTCCCAATTGCCAACCTTGTGGTTTGCGCTCCAGTGCTTATCCTACAGAGCTACTGCGCTCCCTAAACACAGTATATCTATGCATATATTTAAATACCCTTCTATTACCAGCTTCAAAATGTTGTACTTAAAAAAAACAGAAAACATTCAAGCATATATATTTTAAACCACCAAAAGGCACATTCTGCAAGTCTGCCTCCTGGCCTCCAGCTCTCAGTCCCTCTCTTCCCATGAGTCTTGAGTCCTCAGCTGCTCCCTCTCTCCATGTCCCCATCTCTGCCTCCATCTCTGGTGTCGCTGCTTCTCTGGATAAGATCCCGCATTCCGCTTGTGCTCTTCTCCCTTGACGGTCCTAGGGTCCTCTGTTTCTGGACTGTAAGATTAACTACTCCCCCATTTTTGTTACAAAACTTCTATCTTTACAATTGTTATAGTCACAATTAGTCATGATAACAATTACTCACCATTGAACCATAAGAATAAGACTCTTATCTCCATCTCTTTTTCCCTGACCCATCTAGACAAGATGAAAACTATTCAGTGGGGACTCTATCTTCCCTCACACACTCTTAAACCAAACTCCCTCTTGAAACCTTGTAAGCCTGTCACTTCGTGCCTTTATCGCCCCCTCATTTTAGGTAGCCAATGTCTAAGTTGCCCATCCCTATCTACCCTGAATACAGAGGGGATAGGATTGATACTTGATGTGAAGACTCCTTCTCTCTCTGTTGGTATTTTGAGCTAACTACCTTCATGTTGTTGTTGTTGTTAGGTGCCATCAAGTCGGTACCTTATGCACAGCAGAACGAAATACTGCCTGATCCTGGGCCAACCTCACTATTGTTATCTATAAAAATAGATTTTAGAAGAACATGGCGTCTCTGGCATTTGTTGCCTTTGCTTGTCCTTCTGAGCCCATGCTGGCTCATACGGGCCCCTCACTGAAGCTAGACTGAGGGAGAGAGAAAATGAGGGGGTAAAGGGAAAGGATTTCCCTGGTTTATATATGCTGTGGGGCAAGCACTGGACTGCTAACTGAAAGGTCTGCAACTTAAACACAAGAGCTGCTCCTTGGAGAACCTTGTATAGGGTCACTATTGTGAGAAATAGCTGTTGGGGTGATCCATCTTCAGAATCAAGGAAATCTTGGGGGTAGCAGGTTGACATGACAGAAAGGAACTCTGAGGAGAGGGAGACTAGTTAGACTTGCTTGTTGTTGTTAAGTACCGCGGAGTCGGGTCCGACTCATAGCGACCTTGTACGGGGTTTCCGAGGCTGTAAATCTATGGGAGCAGAAAGCCTCATCTTTCTCCTGCGGAACAGCTGCTAGTTTCAAACTGCAGACCTTGCAGTTTGCAGCCCAATTCATAGCCACTATGCTACCAGAGCTCCTTTTGACTTGCTAGACTCTTTTAAAATAAGAATACGCCCATCAAGCAAGTAGGGGAAGTTCATGGGGAAGGGGTTAAACTAACTTTAAGTGAGAATACTCCCTGTAGAGACTAGTAGGAGCCATTCAGGAAAGATTGTAAACTCCAAAGTACCCGATAAAGGGGAAGTAGAGGAGGTGCTATTTCCGGGTTAGGTTAATAAAACTGTTTGTTAAATGGCCATGCTGCACATCTGCCCTTGTCTATGGGGCTGGGTGCCCGATTTTGCAAACTCGAATAAAGAAAACCTCACTCTCGCTAAAATGAGTACAGATTGGATTTCTTGAGCGTTTATCAATATAGCCAATGTTTCTCATACTATGAACCGATTCCTTTGCACTTAACAACAAGAAGAAGGGAGGGGTATAGTTGGTTGTGCAGTTTGGAAACACAGCCAGTCCACTGGAGAAAAAGGAGGCTTTCTGCTCCTGTTAAGATTTACAGGCTCGGAAACCCTATACAGCGTCAGTATGAGTCAGAATCATCTCACTATAAGACAGCACACAATAAGATAACATCTGGAGCAGGAAGGAGGAATGGTAACAGGAGGAAAAGGTGAGAAACCTTCTTACTCAAAGTAGGGAGGGTGTGGCACCCCTCCCCCACAATTGTGTTTGTGATCCAATTTTAGAAACCAGGCTGTCCTTGGCATGCTAATTAGACCAGACCTGAGTGGGGTAGGTACTAATTCTAATCCTTCTGACATATATAGTTAGAAATAGGAATTTCCTTGTTATGTTAATTATAGCTGAGTGTTGTTGTTTTTAAGTACCATGGAGTCGGTTCTGACTCATGCACAGGGTTTCTGAGGCTATAAATCTTTATGGTAGCAGAAAGTCTCATCTTTCTCCTACAGAACAGAATGCAGAGATCCAAACCTTATTCAAATTGCTGACTGAAATTAGCAGCCCAACTCATAACCACTACGCTACCAGAGCTCCTTATATCTGAGTAGGGTGAGTTCTAACTCTAACCACTTCTGAGTTATGAAAGTGCTGAATAGACACAGAGACACAGAGGCAAGAGGAAGACAGATGATAGTGAGAAATGCATTCATAAGCCTAGGATCGCAAGGATATTGTCAGCTACTAAAGCTGGAATAGACAAGGAAGGACTTTACCCAGGGCTATACTCTGAATTTGGACTTCTAGGCTCCTGAACTAGGAGAAAGTCAGCGTTTGTTCTTTAAAGTCCTTAGCTGTGTGTGTATGTGTGTGTTTGTTAGTGCAGTGGTAGGAGGAACCCCGGGTGGTCGTGGTCATGAAAAACAGCTCTGGAAACCTACCTGTGGTTAGGGTCTCCTCTCTTGCTGAAGGAACAGCTGTCTCAATCCAGGGAAAGGTCCTCAGAGCAGGCACTGCAGTATCCTGACCCTGGCTTGGGGGCTTCGTGCTTGACAGTCTTGGTTGGTTTGTGAAGGGGGTTTCTGAAGTCACAGCCATCCCCGCAGTAGCTTCACAGTCAGGGAGACAGTCAAGAGCAGCTTTAACATGTTGACACTTTGGTATCAAAGAACGGTTGAGTCATTCAAAGGTCATGGGACTATAAATACACAGAATGCAGACATCCAAACCTTACTCAAAATGCATAGTAACAAATGTTACTTAGCGCAGTCTTTCACCTAACTACAAACTAAGCTACAACCTCAATCTCCAAAAAGTTCCTTAAAGCAAAGCTGTCACATCTAAGTTTCAGATATTTGACATAGTTCCAGAACAGAACCTGAATCCCTTCATAGAATCCTTCACCCACTCCACGGCCCTTTGGGCATCCTACGGGAAGGGGCAGGGGTGTCAATGTAACATTGACTGAGAATTCATGGGCAAGCAGAGTGGTAGATGAGGCTGGGTTGATGAGGGGGAACTTGTATACTTCAGGGTGAGGACTGTGGACCCTCAGTCACTGACTGAGATATTGTGAGTAGTGAAGAGACAGAATCTGACTTGTATTTTAAGACTATCATTCTGTGTCAATGAATGGATATTTTGGAGAAATAAGAAAGTGGGATAAATGGGCTATTACAGCTCAAAGGTAGGTGATGAAAACTAAAACTAAGATAGAGCAGCAAATAATTACAGAGGATCAGTCAGACTCAGCTAGACGTGACAATTAATTATTGGGAAGTGAGGACTTAGAGCAGGTCATAAAACACCACTTGGGTGAAGGAGAAAACAAAACAAAAAAAGAATTGACAAGGGTTAGATATAGAGATGGTTGGGTAGAGGCTGGTATTGTGAAGGGGCAATGTCTTCAACAGACACACAAATGCATATGCCTACATGAGCCAGTAAGTATATGTAAGAAACAAACAGTGTCAGGCAATAGGGGTTAGTGAGGACTATGGCAAATTGAAGAGAGGAACCCCTCCAATGGACGCAGAAGGTACTCAGCCTCAGATGTTTGTCTTGTTGGTGACTTTTGCTTCTTGTTAGTTTGTGACTTTGGAGACCTCATGTGTGATAGGACACAACAATCTTATTCGGGTTTCACTCTTCTGCAATGCTGTGGGGTGGGTTCAAACTGCCAACATTTGGGTTACACAGCAACCTGTTGGTGCCACCTACCTAGGGACCTTCTCAGTAGACGTAGATCCAGGGTCACCAGATTTACTTTTGCAAGAAATCCAGAAATTATGTTTATTTATTTTTAAATAAATCAAACCCTTTGAGCACAGTTAAGTACACCCCCTGAGGACTGCATTCCGTCTTCAGTTGGCCAGCTGGCGCCCTAGTCTGAAGACATTATGGTAAGAGTTTGGAATATTTGGAAGAAGAAGTCAAAGGCACTCACCCAGAATGCCAGACATGCTGCTGGTGAATGTGTAATTGATAACAGGGAGCTTCTCCGCCATGTCCCAGAATTCAGCAAGATTTCTTCCTGCGAAAATTACAGCAAGGATAAAAACTTGGAATCATTGACAGAAGAGTTGTGTCTGATTCTCAGTCCAAACAAGTTGCCAACCAAGGACCAACGGTCTCACCTGACTTCCCGGTCATGACGCAGATGAAAACGCAGTCGGATCCATTGGTCTGACTCACTGTCATATAAACCAGCACACACTGATTAGAGAGGGCGAGGAAACTGCAAGTTTGTGGATTAAATGGTACTTTTGCTGGAAAGCTCCAGCTAGCGATGCTACAGGAAAATAACACTCACCTAGGACACTTAAAACAAGCTCTGGTTTCCGAGCACAGGGTTTCCGAGGCTGTATATCTTTACGGGAGTAGAAAGCCTCATCTTTCTCCTGTCAACTGCTGACCGTAAAATAAGCAGCCCGACTTGTAACCACTACTCTACCAGAGCTATGAATCAGGCTGCTAACCTCAAGGTCAGCAGTTCGCAACTACTAGCTGTGCCATAGGACATAACAACTACAATGACTCTTAAGGAGTCTTGGTGTGATGTTGTGGGTTAATGCGCCAGACTGCAAAGTAGTTTGAATTGCAAGTTTGGCGGTTCAAGCTAACCAGCTGCTCCTCAGAAACCCTATACCGGGTTGCTATGGGTCGGAACCGACTCGATAGCACTTAACAACAACAACAACAACAACAATGCAACATGATTCTTAGGCAGCCCTCATTGTCTGTATGCTTATTTTGGGGAGGAGTTCAATGTGATGGAATGATTTCCAGGGTTACAAAGTAAACATAAGTGAACTGCTTGATCTCTCCAAGAAGTTTACAACAATTTGCAGAGTCCTGATGTGGCACTGTGGGTTAATGCACTGGACTGCAAGGTCAGTTTGAACCACAAGGTCAGCAGTTCAAGCTCACCAGCTGCTCCTTGGAAACCCTATACAGGGTAGCTATGAATCAGAACCGACTCAACAGCATTTAACAACAGCAACAACAATTTGCAATTCCCAAACTCCTTTGAGAGTCAGAAGGTTTTATGGGTGCTTGGCACTAAAAGTCATTGATCTGGTGGCAAAACCAGACTCGATCAAAGAAAAACTATGCATAATCTTTATTTGTCCCACTTTGTATCAATAGTCAAAGATTTTGATGAGTTAATATTTGATTTATACGTTTATACATATTCATTATGCATTTATTTGCATTATTTGTATTATTTGCATTTATCCATATACATTGAACATCATGCATGGTGAAGTCGAGGATCAGAGTAAAAGAGGAAGACTCTCAACAAGATGGATTGCTGTAATGTTAGCAACAGCAAGTTCAAACATAGCAATGATTATGAGGATGGTGTAGGCCCAGATATAGTGTTTTGTTCTGTACATATAGGGTCACTGTGAGTCTGAACAACTAGACAGCGCCTAACAACTCTACATGTGTATGCATGTGTATAAATGTATCTATATGTATATATGCTAATGGAGTCCTGGTGTGATGCTGTAGGGCAAGCACTGGACTGCTAACCACAAGGTCGGGTTCAAATCCACCAGATGCTCCTCAGAAATCCTATTCAGGGTTGTTATGAGTTGGAAC